GGGGTCTCTTTCCTCTCATTATGCATAAGTGAAGCTTATGCTAATGCCTACAAATCTAAGAATGAGTAAGCTTCTTTGAAATATGTTTCAAGATTGTGCATGGCTTCTATCATGATAAAAATATTGACCTCAATTTCTACATTGCACTGATCCTTGTTATAAGCCTTTACAAGATGAAATTGAAAGCTTACACTGTATTGCCATTTGCGTAATACCTTAAACATATTTAGTGGGTCACACACAGCAACTGCAGTAGTGTCATGACAGTAATAGGAGAATAAAGAGGCCAAACCTATGAAAATGTCTTAAGGGAAGTTAGTAGAGGTAAGATTTCTCAGAATTTCAACCTTGTCTTTAGTAGCCTTTATTTCATAACATGAAGTTTAATGCTGTCGTTTGATTTGTGTGTATTATTTGAGCACTGAAGTAAAGTAATTTGGCAAGATTTAAAGAATATTATAGTAATTAACAGTTGTTAGGTTTATGACCTAACAAATAGAGCAATGGGTTTGATTAAGTTTTATTTACCTTCACTGAAAGACCCAGACCCAGTAAAATGCGACACTTTCACAACTTTCTATTTTTGAAACTTTTGTCAACTGGATTTTGTTTAATGATTTTAAAAAAAAGCAAAATCACCAGGGATGTTGTTATGTGGCTATCATGTAACCCCTGGTATGTGATAAAAGGGCCATTCTCTATGACTTTCTTCCTAAAAGCCCTCAAACCCAGTTAAGTCATAAGGGAAAAAAAAAAACAGACAAATTCAAGTTTGGAGGACATTCTGTAAGATATTTGGTCAATACCCCTTAAGACTGTCAAGTTCATAAAAACAAGGAAAAACTGAGAACCCATCATAAGCCAAAGGAGACTAGAGAAACATGACAAGTAAATACAACATCCTGTAACATCCAACTAAATAAAACCCTACAGTGGGTCCCAGAGTAAAAGGAAGATATTAATGGAAAAACTGGTAAAATCAAAATAATGTGTAAACTTTAATTTTTATGTATGAGCTTTTGTTCATTAGGGGTGACAAATATTATATAGCAATCTTAAGATGTGAACAATAGGGGAAACTGGTTTTGGGAGAATTCTCTGTACTATCTTTTAACTTTCTATTTATCCAAAATTATTCCAAAATGAGGGTTGTTTTTAGATGGATAAGGGTATTTCTTTCCAGTAATTGAAAATTAACCTTTGCCTATACTAGAATATATTTTATTATATAACTCACCTTTTAATCTTACATCAATGCTTTAAAATTACACCTTAAATGCTCCTAGATTTGAAGAAACTTTTTGACTTTATACAAAGTCTGGACAGGAACAACTCCATTCCATAAACTTTCCCTCCTTTTTAACAGCATCTACTGAGAAGGCTTGAGGAGCCTCACATTCACAAACCTCTCCTGGAAACAGCATTCCTTTAAAACTAGATGTCTGGCAGCAAAGGAACAAGAGAAACACAGAGATGACTTTCCCTACTACTTAAGCTGAAAAACTAAACAAATTAAGATCTTTACTTTTCTTATTCCTATAGATTACAAGGAACTTCTCACTGACTATTTGAAAGGTTTGGTCCATTTGAAGCCAGTGCTGTTGACGATGTGACTTTAGAAAATATTTAGAAAAACCACAGACCTAGGGATATATGAAACTGAGGTTTTGAAACAAATGCATAAATTCAGGAAAGTAATGATAGCAGTGCCAGTGAAAACTCACAAAAGGAAGTTGACTTCTGTGAAAGCATGTTGAATTTCATCCAGTTGAATGAAATTTAATTTCTTTTTTTAGGAGAAAAGAAATGGATAAAAAGCAGAATGGGAAATTTTGCATGGACAGTGATTGCAGTAGGTGTGATAGCTGTAGTTTCAGGAGGGAGGAGTAGGAGAAAGCAAAATAATCTTAAAGCTAGAGTTGCTCTTTTGACAAAAACACTTGAATGATATTTCTGTTCATAAAGGGTAAGGTGTTAGGAAAATTTAGACAACAAAATAGTTAAGATTACTTTTATGAAAGGCAACAAGTATTTTGGACTAACCCTAGAGAGTTGAGAGGTTGTGCTTTGAGGTTTGGTGATAGGAAGAATAGAAAAAGAGGAAGGAGAAGGTCTCCTTGAAGAGATGGAGAGGAAGTGACAGGAGGTCCCTAAGGGAGAAATTCTGTGTGCGGATACAGGCATATCTCCTTGTATTGCACTTCACTTTATTGGGCTTTATAGATAATGTGTTCTTTATAAATTGAAGGTTTGTAGCAACCCTGCATCAAGCACAGCTATCAGAGCCATTTTTCTCAAAAGCATTTGCTTATTTTGTGTGTTTGTGTCATACTTTGGTAATTCTCCCAATGTTTTAAACTTTTTCATTATTATTGTTATAGTGATCTGTGATAAGTGATTTTTGATGTTACTGTTGCAATTGTTTGGGGGCACCACAAACTCTGCCCATATAAGATGGAGGATTTGTGTGCATTCTGATTGCTCTACTAACCGGACATTCCCCTATCTCTCTCCTTCTCCTCAGTCTCCCTATTCCCTGAGACACAACAGTATTGAAATTAGGCCAATTAATAGCCCTCCAATGGTCTCCAAGTGTTCAAGTGAAAGGAAGAGCTGCATATCTCTTGTTTTAAGTGAAAAGCCAGAAATGATGAAGCTTAGTGAGGAAGGCATGTCAAAAACCGAGATAGGCTAAAAGTTAGGCCTCTTGCACCATTTGTCCAAGTTGTGATGAAAAGGAAAAGTTCTTGAAGGAAATTAAAAGTGCAATTCCAGGGAATATATGAAAGATAAGAAGCTGAAACAGTCTTATTGCTGATATGAAGAAAGTTTTAGAACTCTGGATAGACCAAACTAGTCTTAATATTCCCTTAAACCAAAATCTAATCCAGAGTAAGGCCCTAACCTTCTTCAATTCTAGGGAGGCTAAGAGGTAAAGAAGCTACAGAAGAAATGTTTGAAGCTAGCAGACTGGTTTATGAGGTTGAATGAAAGAAGCTGTCTCCCTAACATAAAAGTGCAGATGAAGCAGCAGGTGCTCATTTAGAAGCTGCAGCAAGTTATGCAGATGATCTATCTGAAATAATGAATAAAGGTGGCTAAGCTAAACAAAAAATTTTCCTTGTAGATGAAACAACCTTATATTGGAAGAAGAATCTCTCTAGGACTCTCATAGCTAGAGAGAAATCAATGCCTGGCTTCAAAGCTTCAAAGAACAGGTTAACTCTATTACAGGGTCTAATACAGCTTGCAACTTTAAGTTGAAGCCAGTAGTCATGTGCCATTCTGAAAACCCTTGGGCCCTTAAGAATTACTCTCTAAATCTACTCTGCCTATGCTTTATAAATGGAAAAACAAAACCTGGATGACAGCATATCTTTTTACAACATGGTTTACTGAATATTTGAAGCACACCGTTGAAACCTATCGCTCAGGAAGATTTTTGCTGACAATGCACTCGGTCACCCAAGAGCTCTGATGGAGCTGTACAATGAGATTAATGTGTTTTCATGTCTGCTAACACAATATCCATTCTTCAGTCCATAGATCAAGCAATAATTCTGAATTTTAAGTCTTATTATTAAATAAACATATTTCATAAGGCTGTATCTGTTACAGATATTGATTCCCCAGATGGATCTGGCCAAAAGGATTTGCCCTTCTAGATGCTACTAAGAACATTCAGGATTGATGAGAAGAGGTCAAAATACTAACATTAACAGGAGTTTGGAAGAAGTTGATTCCAAACTTTACAGATGACCTTGAGGGGTTTAACACTTCAGTGGAGGAAGTAACAGCAGATGTGGTAGAAATAGCAACAGAACTAAAATTGGAAGTGGAGTCTGAAAACGTGACTGAATTGCTTCAATTTCATGATAAAACTTGAAAGGATGAGGAGCTTCTTATAGATAGATGAGCAAAGAAAGTGGTTTCTTGACATGGAATTTACTTCCGGTGAAGATGTAAAGATTGTTGAAATGACTACCAAAGGTTTAGAATATTACATAAACAGTTGATAAAACAGTGGTAGGTTTTCAGAGGATTGACTCCAATTTTGAAAGCCCTTTGGGTAAAATACTATCAAACAGCATCCTGTGCCATGGAGAATAATTCATGAAAGAAGAGTCAATCAGTGTGGCAAACTTAATAGGTGCTTTATTTTAATAAATTGCCACAGCCACCCTAACCTTCAGTGACCACAACCCTGATCAGTCAGAAGCCATCAATATGGAGGCAAGACCCTCCAACAGCAAAAAGATTATGACCCACTGGAAGCTCACATAATGGTTGGCATTGTTTTAGCAATAAATAATTTTTAATTAAGGTCTGTACATTGTTTTTTTTAGACATAATGCTATTACACAGCTAATATACTACAATATAGTAAACATAACTTACATATGGGAAATCAAAAAATTCATTTGACTTGTTTTATTGCAGAGGTCTGGAACCAAACCCATAATAACTCTGAGATATGCCTGTAGTGATATCAACTACATGCTGCCTTTGCAATACTGTGCTGAATGAGATCTCTCCTTTACTCCAAACCTTAAAGTCAGGTACACTCAGCAGGCTTTTGTTAGTGATGTTCAGGGCAGTAAAGGAAGGCAGACAGTATCTAGTATGGGTTGAAGCATTACGGCAACAGAGCAGTAAATGGAGGCAATTGGCACAAGAGGTAAAAAATTAAGCAGTAACAGAATGGCAGACTTAGGAGGGGCCAAGAGAAAGCAAGCACTGTAGGAATACTTGATATTTGGGGATAAAAGATGGAGTGGAGGATGAAGTATTCATGTGAAAATTCAATGAAGAAGAGACATCACAAGCCTGGAGAGCTTTATTATATAAAACAGCAGATAGGTGTTGCATATGTAAAAATCACATGTAGTAAAAATAATAAATCAAGATATGAGAATGTTTGGTGCAGTTGGGAATGTCTTTTTCTTTTCTAACTATTCAACAGATTTATAACAATTTTACATCAATAATGATGTTCTTACCTTCCTCTTGGCAAGTCTGAATCATCCTTTTTCCACCGTACAGTTGGTTGAGGATCTCCCTGGACCTGACAACGAAATTCTACAGCTTCCTCCTCCAGCACCACCTGGTTGATTGGTCTCCTGAGAAATGTAGGTCGTTCTTAGGCGGAAAAAAAAAAGGCATGAAATAAAATGAATGCTGTGCATGTTTTAAGCACATTATGGAAAAAACACAGGAAACATGGTTTATTTTTGGTACATAGGTACGTAACTCTATATCTCAAATATGTCTTGATAAGGTCATACAAATCCAACGTAATTGAATAAAATAAAATATTTTGGAACACAGAAATAGCTACAGTTTGTATTTAAAACAGCACAACCTTTTGGAAAAAATATTAAGTTCATTCTTCAGTGAATTCCTGAGCTAAACCAGATGGATCATATCATAAGGAACCTGAACACTAAATTGCACAGGAACAAGGAAAGAGAGAGGAATGATTAATCTATTACAATGATTCAGAGTGGGAAAATTAAAAGCTGAAACTGATGGAAAACATCAGAAAGGAAACTAATATTCATTGTCCATAACATATGGTGGAGGAAACAAAAAGAAAGTTGTGTTCTCACACATATATGTTATCTAAATTTTCCCACATAGACTACCACTGATTAAGGACCTAGTAATTCCATCATGTATGGAGAATCATCTACCAGATTTTTTTAAAGTAAAACAGCTGTCAATCTGATTTTTTAAAAAATAAAATCACTGTCATTATTAATTCTTGTAAAATATTGGCTATCATACATAACTTTCTAAGGCCACTTCCCATTACGTTTTTCTAAGTATTTCAGATATTTGCCCATTTTTTCTTTAATTATATGTTCTTTATTTCTCTGGTGTTTCATTTTAGTGTTTATGTCCTTTATTCTTGTGTTTTCATATGTCCCAGGCAGATTAACCTGCATTCTAGATCCCCTGTACATAGAGCTAGGGAAAAATAAATCTTTGTCCATGAGAATCTTACCATCTAAGGGAAATATACAAAAAAAACAGTAGTTTTATATAACATTAGATACTTCAATTCATTGTCTAGCTTTTTCCCTTTTGATAATGGTTTGATACAGAGAAAACACCATTTAAATTTTTATTATCACTTGCCTCCAAATCATAGGAAAGCCTATATTGCTACATACTGAAGTAGAAAGAGAAGTCAAGGAAAAAAAAAGATGAAATCCATAGGGAGTTGACACAATTTATCTAGCCATATGGCCATATTTAGTCACTTAGGACTTTAGTTTCAAACTGAATTTAAACATGTGAATACAGTGGTACAAAAATGGAAACATATTTAACAAGAAACCTATAAAGAAAATAAATCACTTTAAATAACACATGTTAAGAGTATAGAATGGAAGTATATGGCTTTATTGACTAAATGCAGACTTATACTTAACAACTATGAGTTGCAAGAGCTGTATTTGATTGTAATAGTCAACCATCACTGGCCATGAGAAGGAAGACAATTGCATCTCCCCACAGTGAAGTTGACAGTAGGGAACAAAATGTTCTTTAAAACATTTTTAAATGTTTATCTTTTAAAAGATCTGCATATGTTCGAGTATCTGCACATGGGGACCCCAAAATCCCAAGGCATAAAACAAGGCAAATAGGATTTTATCACAGTTTTTTAAATGTAGAATTTAGAAATAACCTGTAAAACTTTCAGGGAGAAAACATTGTTTATAAAGATTTTAGGTAGTCAGAAGCAATTAGCAGCTAAGTGTGCTCCAACACAACAGAAAAAATATGCATGTTGGTTGGAATAACTTAGTATTATCCTTTTGAACTCTAGACATTATATGCTCCAAATAACTAATTCAGTGCTGGTATAGGTGATACCGAGCTATACAGTTTCTGACAAAACATAGGCAATTGGATCAGCGAGGGGCTGCCCTGTTATTCGGAAGTGGAATGAGCCTAGTAAGCCTTTCCTTAGCTAAAATGGTGTAAAGAAAAGACTGTTTACTCCCCACTTTCCAAAAGTTCAACTTATTCCACTTAACTTTAATGGAAGACCCACATTATTAAAGTCATGGCATAAAGTGAAAATCCTCTTTGGATTTCTTTCAATTAAGGAAAACAGGTACTTTACTATATCTTTCCTAAAACTGAAGGGGTGTAAATGCAAATGGACTGAATGCACCAATCAAAAGTCATAGAGTCACTGAATGGTTAAAAAAACAGGACCCATCTATATGCTGCCTACAAGAGACTCAATTTAGACCCAAAGACATACAAAGAATAAAAGTGAAAGGATGGAAAAAGATATTTCATTCAACTAATAGGGAGAAAAAAGCAGGAGTTACAGTACTTGTATCAGGTAAAATCGACTTCAAAACAAAGAAAGTCAAAAGAAACAAAGAAGGACATTACATAATGATTAAAGGGTCAATCCAACAAGAAGATATAACCATTATAAATATCTATGTGCCCAACACAGGAGCACCTACATATGTGAAATGAATACTAACAGAATTAAAAGGGGAAATAGAATGCAATGCTTTTGTTCTAGGAGACCCCAACACTCCACTCAATCTGAAGGATAGATAAACCAGACAGAAAATAAGTAAGGACACAGAGGCACTGAACAACACCTTAGAACAGTTGGATCTAACAGACATTTACAGACTCTACACACAAAAGCAGAATACACGTTCTTCTCAAGTGCACATGGAACATTTTCAAGAATAGGTCATATACTGGGCCACAAAAAGAGCCTTGGTAAATTAAAAAATTGAAATTTTACCAACCGGTTTCTCAGACCATAAAGGTATGAAACTAGAAATAAATTACGCAAAGGAAAGGAAAAATCCCACAAACACATGGAGGCTTCACAACATGCTCCTAAATAATCAATGGATCAATGACCAAATAAAAACAAAGATCAAGCAATATATGGAGACAAATGACAACAATAATTCAAGACTGCAAAATCTGTGGGATGCAGCAAACACCATGCTAAGAGGAAAGTATATTGCCATACAGGCCTACCCCAGGAAAGAAGAACACTCTAAAATCACAATTAATGAAACTAGAAAAAGAACAACTAATGAGGCCCAAAGTCAGTAGAAGAGGGACATAATGAAGATTACAGCATAAATAAATAAAATTGAGAAGAATAAAATAATAGAAAGAATCAATGAAAGCAAGAGCTGGTTCTTCAAGAAAATAAAGAAAGTAGATAAACCCCTAGCCAGAATTATCAGGGAAAAAAGAGAGTCTATATACATAAACAGAATCAGAAATGAGAAAGGAAAAATCACTACAGACACCACAGAAATAAAAATAATTACTAGAGTATACTATAAAAAATTATATGCCAACAAACTGGATAACCTAGAAAAAATGGACAACTTTCTAGAAAAATACAACCTTCCAATGCTAACCCAGAAAGAAACAGAAAATCTGAATAGACCAATTACCAGCAATGAAATTGAACTGGTAATCAAAGAACTACCTAAGAACAAAATCCCTGGACAGTTGGCTTCACTGCTAAGTTTTATTAAACATTTAGTGAAGACCTAATATGCATCCTCCTTAAAGTTTTCCAAAAAGTAGAAGAGGAGGGAATACTCCCAAAATCATTCTACATGGCCAGCATCATTCTAATACCAAAACCAGGCAAAGAAACCACAAAAAAAGAAAATTACAGACCAATATCCTTGATGAACATAGATGCAAAAATACTCAACAAAATATTAGCAAACTGAATTCAAAAATACATCAAGAGGATCAACCACCATGGTCAAGTGGGATTCATCTCAAGGATGCAAGCACGGTATAATATTTGAAAATCCATCAACATCATCCACCACATTAACAAATACAGGACAAAAATGACATGATCATCTCTATGGATGCTGAAAAAGCATTTGAAAAAATTCAACATCCATTAATGATAAAAATTCTCAACAAGATGGATATAGAGGGCTAGTACCTCAACATAATAAAGGTCATATATGACAAACCCACAGCCAACATCATACTTAACAGTGAGAAGCTGAAAGCTTTTCTTTTAAGATCAGGAACAAGACAAGGATGCCCACTCTCCCCACTTCTATTTAACATAGTCTGGATGTCTTAGTCATGGCAATCAGACAACACAAAGAAATAAAAGGTATCCAGACTGGCAAGGAAGAAGTTAAATTGTCTCAGTTTGCAGATGACATGATGTTGCACATAAAAAACCCTAAAAAATCCACTCCAAATCAACTAGATCTAATATCTGAATTCAGCAAATGTGTGGAATACCAAATTAATACACAGAAATCTGTGCATTTCTATACACTAATGAAGAACTAGAGAAAAAGAAATCAGGAAAACAATTTCATTCACAATTGCATCAAAAAGAATGAAACACCTAGGAATAAATCTAAGCAAGGAAGTGAAAGACCTATACTCTGAAAACTACAAGACACTTATGAGAGAAATTAAAGAAGATACCAATAAATGGAAACACAACCCATGCTTGTGGATAGGAAGATTAGTATTGTCACAATGGCCATCCTGCCTATAGCAATCTACAGATTCAATGCAATTCCTATCAAAATACCAACAGCATTCTTCAATGAACTAGAGCAAATCATTCTAAAATTCATATGAAACCACAAAAGACCTGGAATAGCCAAAGCAATCCTGAGAAGGAAGAATAAAGTGGGAGGGATTATGCTCCCCAACTTCAAGCTCTACTACAAAGCCAGTGTTCAAGAAAATATGGTACTGGCACAAGAACAGAACCACAGACCAATGGAACAAACTAGAGAGCCCTGATATAAACCCAACCACATATGGTCAATTAATAAATGATAAAGGAACCATGGATATACAATGGGGAAATGACAGTCTCTTCAACAACTGGTGTTGCAAAACTGGACAGCTACATTCAAGAGAATGAAACTGGATTATTGTTTAACCCCATACACAAAAGTAAACTAAAAATGGATCAAAGACCTGAATGTAAGTCATTAAACCATAACATTCTTAGAAAAAAATATAGGCAAAAATTTCTTGAATATAAACATAAACAACTTCCTGAACACATACCCTGTAGGAAGGGAAACAAGCAAAAATGAACACATGGGACTACATCAAACTAA